TAATCGCGATACTACACACTGCCGGTAAGATGAGGAGCCTATGGGTCACACACATAGAAGATAATTTAAGAGCCAGAAAGAAAAAAGGGCGTTTTCATCTTTTTAGGCGAAATGGTATTTTGGTAATTTCACAATACAATTAAATTTGCTGAGGTCGTAGCCTTTATTTAATTTGTTAGAAAAAATTAAATAAGTGAGATTACGTTTAAATATGTGTTCGCATATATTTAAATAAATTATCATTATTGTTAAATGTTAATATATTCAATATATATTAATTGATTTTAATTGAGATAATGATAAACAAAATTAAGATATCTAAATGGGAGTGTTTGGAAACAAGGGGTGTTTGGGTTGGAGCCCAAGCCTATTCCATAAGGGAATAGGGAACGGGGCAATTAAACTTGCACTATAAAAGAAAAGGTTTAATTAAGAGAGAAAAATATTTTCATTATTTTTCATTTCATTGAAAAGAAAAAGCTACAGCCCCCTGAAAATTCTCTCACGCTAGATTTGGGTTTTGGTTTTAAATCAAATACACTTCATTTCTTCTTTGTTCTTAAGGCTAAAGAGGATCTAGCAAATCCCTCTTTAGTTCCTTGCGATTATCTTTGTGTGGACTATATTGGTTCGATCCTACACTTGGGTCGATAGCAAAATACATTCAGAGACAAAGTTGGAGGAGTCTCCAAACGTGCGTATGATTTCTTAAACTCTAAACTAATTTTCTGCAGATTCTTATTTTGATATAAACTGTAAATTTGTGCCCTGATCTTGGCTCTATAGAACGATCCGTGTTGTTATTAAATTTTTGTTTTCCGCTGCATCAATGGATCGTTTCCTAACATGTCCTACATTACCCAAAACTAATTTAACAACTACTGTCCAATATCCTATTCAGAATTACATTTCCTACACACATCTTTCACCATCTTATCAAACGTGTTTGTCTAGTATATCAGCAATTACTGAACCCACTACGTTTACCCAAGCATCCAAAGATCCCCACTAGGTTATGGCTATGCAATAGGAAATTCAGGCTTTGGAAAGAAATGGGACATGGTCTTTAGTTCCCTTACCACCTGGTAAATCTCCAATAGGGTATAAATGGGTTTATAAACTCAAGTACAAGGTAGATGACACTCTAGAACGGTATAAGGCAAGAATAGTTGCCAAAGGATTTACCCAACAAGCTGGAGTTGATTATGAGGAGACCTTTTCTCCTATGGTTAAGATGGTAACAGTTAGATTAGTCTTAGTCATAGCATCTATGAAGGATTGACCTCTTTACCATTTAGATGTTGATAACGCCTTCTTGCAAGGGGACCTCCAAGAGGAAATTTATATGAATATACCACAGGGTTTCTCTAAACAGCATGATAATTACTTAGTATGTAAGCTCCATAAGTCATTATATGGTTTGAAGCAAGCTTCCAGGGCATGGAATACAAAGCTTACTGTTGCGTTATTATCGGGTGGCTTCCAACAATCACCCTCCGATCATTCTTCCTTCTTTAAGAAAAACAATTCTAATATTGTGATTTTGCTTGTATATGTTGATGATTTGGTTATCACAGGTAATGATTCACTCTCTTATTCAAGCTATTAAAGATTTGTTGCACTCTAACTTCAAGTTAAAAGATCTTGATTCTCTTAGATATTTTTTAGGTTTTGAAGTTGCTAGATCATCCAAGGGCACTAGTTTGTGCCAACTGAAATATGCATTAGAGTTGACAGCCACCTCAGGTTTGGCTATTGCTAAACCAGCATTGATACCCCTTGATCCTCAGTAAAAGTTTACAATAGTGGAGTATGATGCTTCATTTCCTGGTGCACCATAACCTACCTTAAAGGATCCCTCTGTTTATCATAAATTGATTGGGAAGTTGATGTATTTGTGTCATACCATACAAGATTTGAGTTATTTTGTAAATCTGCTTAGTCAGTTTATGCATCAACCAAAACAGTCCCATCTCAATGCAGCTCCTAAAGTGGTCAGATATATCAAAGGGTCTCCTGGTTTAGGCTTGGTTTTCCTAGCACATGGTTCTTTCCATCTTTAAACATTTTGTGATTCTAATTGGGCTTCTTGCCTTATGACGCGTAAGTCCATTACTGGTTTCTACATCTTCTTGGGAGGTTCTTTACTATCATAAAAATCTAAGCGTCAAGTTATAGTTTCCAGGTCATCCTCTGAAGTAGAATATCGTGCCATGGCTTCTACAGTTTGTGAGATTGTATGGCTTGCTCAATTTTTGACTGATCTTGGCATTCCAGTTCACCAGCCCATTTTTCTCAGTTGTGACAGTCAATCAGTCACCCATATTGCTTCGAATCCTATGTTTCATGAGCGTACAAAACATATCAACATTGAATGTCATATAGTTCGTACTAAAATCAAGGAAGGCATGGTACATCCTATTCACATTCCTACTCAGGAATAGCCTGCTGATTTGTTTACTAAGGCTGTTGTTGGCCCTCTCCATCGCCATTTATTATCCAAGTTTGGAGTGCTTGACATTCATTACCCGCCAACTTGGGGTTTTGGGGGGGTGGGGGGTGTGTGTTGGGTTTTGATCGGTCTTGGTTTATTATTATTTTTTGTTCTTGATGTATAATGCTTGTATTTGTTAGTAGTTGGGTTGTAGTTAATATAGCTGGGTATAGTTAAGAGTTTAGTTTAGTTGGTTGAGTTAGTTACTATCAACTATGGTTAATTACCATGGGTACTGGAAATGTAATAAGTGTGTTATATAGTTTGTAACTTTACTTTTTGCTGAGCTGAATTAAACAAAAATGATGTTCTCTTCTCTTCTCTGAAATAAGATCGAATAAGATTTGTCCGCAAAATTGGTTTTATGCCGAGTCCAAATTATTGACAGGTAGAGATCCAAGTTCCTCTGGAATTTCTCCAGAGAGCTGATTTCCTCTAAGGTTTAAAGTAGTAAGCCTCTTTCATGAGATCAAATCTGATGGAGGGGTGCCAGAGAGTTGGTTCTGATCGAGCCAAAGAGTACTTAAAGCAGGAAGAGCTGTTAATTCTCTTTGAACTGTGCCACTAAAGAGGTTATAACTGGCCTTAAATTTGTGCAGATTCCTCCAAGAACTCACTCCAGTAGGAATTCTACCAGAAAACCTATTGTTGCTGATCTCACAAAGAGAGAGATTCCTTGAAATTTTATCAGGAAGCTCACCTGTAAACTTATTATCACGTATCTGCACATACGACAAATTTGATGCCGTCCATAACCCCACAGGAATTTTCCCAGTAAAACCATTGTTGTAAATGCTAATCATTAACAAACTGTTACAATTCCCAAGAGATTCAGGTAATTCTCCACTAAGATTGTTATTAAAAGCTACTAGACCGACCAACTTACCTCCAGCACATAAGTATTTAGGCAGCTTGCCTGTAAGGTTATTGGCAGCAACCTCAACCGTTCAAGTGCTGCATATCGACCAAAGTCTGGAGGCAGAGCAACAGTTTAACATCTTTCAGTGTTGGAATCCGTCCAATGCTTTTGGATTTCGCTGGATAATTTACTGAACATTAAACTCAACAATGTGGCCAGCACTGAGGCTTGCCTTTGTTTTGCTTGCCGGAACCTATAGTGTTAGAAAGCGTAAGGAAATAACATACTGATTGAGGAGCCTGGAACCTTACAGTAAAACTGAGTTACTGGGTGAATAATTCCATATCTTTATTCCAACAGAACTTGGCTTAAATAACCCATTTACAACGTTCATAAACAAGGTAACAGGAAAGGAATTACACTTACTCCCACTACTAAAATAAAGGAAATATCCCACTAGACTAGACTTAATGATTAAGATCTTATGCCGCCAACAAACTAATATAGCATATAATTATTTAATAAATAATAACAAAATTAAAATAAATAGAACCACCAGCTAAAGGCCCGTAACACAATGACAACTTCTCAAGCTTCCCAAAGATATGGTATTGGCGCAGTGAATTTGTTCCACGAGAGATTGATGACAGGAAAGTTTAAAGATTCAATCAACCAAGGAAATTCCCCACATAATGTGTTTTTATGAAGACGTAAAACAAGCAAATGTTTCAACTTGAGCAAACTGCCGAGGATTTTTCCAGTCAAACTATTCCTTGATAAATCCAGAAACTCAAGCGCAGTCATTTTGCCAATAGAATAAGGAAATTTTCCAGTCAAACTATTATTTGATAAATCCAGATACTCAGGCGCAGTCATTTTGCCAATAAAATAAGGAATTCTCCCAGTAAAACCGTTCCCGGAAATATTAATCATTAGCAGACTATCACAATTCCCAAGAGATTCGGGTAATTCTCCGCTAAGGCGCTAAGATTGTTATGAAAAGCAACTAGTCCGACCAACTTACCTCCAGCACGTAAGTGTTCAGGCAGCTTGCCTGAAAGGTTATTGGATGCAACCTCGAAATCTTCAAGGGCTGAATATCGACCAAAGTCTGGAGGAAGAACACCTGATAAATTGTTTTTAAACAATCTGACATCTTTCAAAGTTGGAATCCGCCCAATGCTTTCTGGAATTTCACCAGATAATTGATTGAACATCAAAATCGAGCCTGACAATTTTTCCAAGCTTCCCAAAATCAGTTAGTATTGTCTCAGTCAAATTGTTGTATGAGAGATCAATGACAGTCAAGTTCAATGACTGAACAACCTGTGGAATCTCCCCCAACAACATGTTATTGTAAAGATATAAAACACTCAAATGTTTCAACTTGAACAAACTGCTGGGGATTTTTCCAGTCAAACTATTCCATGATAAATCCAAAATCTCAAGCGTCATATTGCCAGACGAAACCAATAGAACAATAAAACAAATCACAGACAATAAACAAAAAGAAAATAACACACGCAATTTACCCTGATTCATCCAATATATACTACGTCCAGCTGAGTCAATATTATTGCAATACTTCCTCACCTCTCTCGTTTACAGTGAATGAATTGCCCTATGATTGCTATCAACCTCATAACAAGAGAAAAAATATGTTTATATATTAGGTTTAAAGTGACAAAAACTAAGTTTTACAAGGATTCATATTCCTAAGCTCAAACCTAATAAAGAATTAATGACTTAAAAAAAATCCTACAACGAAACCTCGGAATGCGTCTGCGTAACCCAGTAATGCTGAAATAGTCGATAACTCCAATAGAGATAACATGTTAGGTTGCTCCTGGAAGTAATTTAACACAAAAATATATATTAGAAGATAGCTTAATTTGACTCTGAGTTTTTCATGTTTTTAATAATACACTATACAAAGAATAGTAATGAGCGCCTAACATGAAAGACTTTAAACAAATTTGTTGGAAATTAGAAGCCAAGAAAATAAAGTCTCTGGCTTCTAATTTCATAAAGATGAACTTATGTGGTAAAAGATAACTTTATTCATATAATTCTCCAAAATAAGTCATATTACATTCTTACATTCGATTCATTTTTATAGACTTGTAAAGGGATAATATTAAACAACTGCACTTAAAGATTGAAACATGCAGTTAATAGAAGTTTCAAATTCATAAAAACCAAAAGTAACAGAATTTTAAAAATCAAGTAGGATCTATAATTTTTAAGCACAAATGATGAGTTATACTTACATGGTTATCATCATTTATTTACTAAAACAGCACCATATTTACACTCTAAACGTTCTATAAGTCTATATTACTTCGTACTAAAATTTTGAGATATTACAAATGGGTTCACATTCGCAGCCAAACCAATTGTAGCTAGCTGAATTGGCAGTTATGTCAGTGAAACATGATAATGACACAATAATTAGTGATAACTTAATACTTTCATTTATCAATATAAGAGACACTAGGAATCTGTATTTTGAAAGGTCTCTCTAAAATCTATCTATCTAGCCTGGACTTCGAGGGGAAATTACCAATATTTATTTATCTTCTTTTGCTCTCCTCTTCTCTTCTCACTTAAGTATCCAAACAAAATCTAAAATTTCTCCCACCTCACTTCACTTCACATCACCTCTTTCCATTTCTCTCAAAATATCAACTATTTTTTTTTTTTTCTCAAAAAAGGCAATTTAAGAAAATCTACAGACTACTATGCTATTCAAATACCAACTACAGCTTGATTAACAAGTAAACACTCAAAAACAAGATATTAAATTACTCCAAATTCATTTCAGCAAATGAAAAAACACAAAAATAACCCGAAACTCTAATAAAAACACATCATCATCTTAAAAACAAGTTGGCCATACACAATCCTTCCTGTTAAACTCAAAATTGAACATGCAACATAACAACAGACTTAAAAGTAACTGTTACTAAAATCAACTCAGAGCCAATAAATTTATCCAACAAAAATCAAAGCCAAAAATATAGAGCGTTGGAAGAACTTGGTTTGGAATTGAAGATGGTATTGGGTGAAAAAGCTAGTTTTCCCCAAATTGCAGTCTCTATATTTTCTCTCGCTCCGATCTTTTCCCAAAAAAAAAAAAAAATACAAACCCAGGAGAGAATTTCCAAGATGTGTAAAAAAAAAAGAAAAAAACGAAAACCTGATAAGCAGAAGTCAAAGTCGGGAGGAAAGTGACGGCCGTTTAGGGTGGTGGTCGGTTGGGGCGCCGTTGAGATTGATGGTGCTAGTGGTGGTGGTGCGGCTGAGATGGGAGAAAGTGATGAGTGGACGTAGGCAACCTGGTGTGGCTGTGGTGGCTGCCGTGGGAACAGGCTGTGATTGGAGAGTGCGGTGGCTAGGGTTTTCAAAATTTAAAGGAAATTTGGAGAGAATTTTTTTGGGTTTGTATTGTAGGGAAATTGAAAATGGAAATGTATGCGTAGGATTTGTTTTAGGGAAGATTTCAAATTTTGGGATTTTGAATTTTTTTTTTTTTTTTCCTTAAGTGGTAGGAAGTGACGTGATATGTTGGTAACGTGGCAGATGAGGAGACTATGCCATGTCAACTGCCACGTCCGAATAGTAGTAAGCTGCCACGATCCGAATAGTAGTAAAACCCTAGTAAAACCCGTTTGTAAAGATAGCATTGTTGTACTTTTAAATTAAAAATTAAAAGAGTAACACCACCCTCACGAACACTTCTAACTAATTTTTTCTCACAAACATCATATGTTAGTTCACAATTTATCAATTTACATGGATCTCGTCTATCCAATAATAGATTTCATCTAACCAAACCAATCATAAACTCTCACATAGAGTTAATGAGAGGGGTTTGTAAGAGATTTTCATTACCTTACTATTATTGAAATTGAAATACTACTTAGAATGTGTACTATTACAAGTCTATGAAGCTTTTATAATAATTTAACCCAAAACAAAAGTTTGAAAGACAATCTATCAAGCTTTTTGAAAACGAGTACCACAAAAAGTTTGAAAGACAAATTTATCATAAATTTTGGAAAAAAAAAAAAAAAAAAACTTTAGACAAGAACAGTAAAGAGCGTCTAAATCATATGAAAGACTTCAACAAATTTTATGAGAGAATGTAAAAACACATGGACTTGCCTAATAATAACTAGGGTTTCCCATGAGCCTTTATCAATAATACTAGACGTACAAAGATTTTTTATGCAAAAAGAGGTGGTTGGAGTTGAATGAAAGAATATAAAAAGTCAAACTCATCATATTTACTCTTTCAATCATCTTCTATCATATCGCTTTATATAATAAATCTTTGTAAAGGTCTTTATACATGTAGTATTACCCGAATCTTTATATTGGTAAGAAGACCAAGTAATATAATGTAGAAAAGTGACTTAAATATTGCAAAGTTGTGTTCACATGTTTTTGGACTATAGCTCATAAATGCCATGAACATATTTTCACATTCACACATGCTCAAAGACTTCAAATTGGACTACTATGGTGATGTAAAACGTCTAGCAGATGAATTCTTGGATATGGTCAAGCGTTAAAAGCCCAAGCGCAGACATGTTAACTTTAAATAGTCATAACTTTTTATCCAAGAAAAGTTATGGAGCCCATAATACATCAACGAAAAGCTCATTCCGAGCCTACGACGTGGCAACCTAGTTCCCTAGTAGGGGACCTTTTTGGTGTGTTTTGGAGCCGTTTTAGTTTTTTATGCGTTTTTCACTATTTTATTTAGGATTTTTGTTTTTTTAATTAATTTAGATTTTATATCCTTGTTTATTGGGATTCTTATTAGAGTTGGTTGTCACCTTATATAAACTTATTATTCATTTTTGGATATTATTCAATGATTGCTCAGATTTTACCTAAACTTTATGACCTAAGTTTCTGTGTTTGAGAATTGTCTATCAACTTTAAAGGTTTAATCAAGTGTTAACCTTATTGTTACACCAACTTGTCGCGGTCATATGGAGACATTTAATACCAACAAATTGGAAGCAAAATTTTTGCCTTATGTCTCTCAAATAAAGTCAACATTCTCAAACCGATATGGCGGCTACAAGGTCTTTGCAAATCCCTTATTTTGTCCCATAAATTTTGAAATGAAATGGCTTCCCTTCACTATAAATATGGGTGCATTTTGAGGGCAAAATCAACACATACATTTCTCAAGCACAAACACTAGAGACGGAAAGTTTGAGTTAGAGAGAAAAATATATCGTGTGTGAGAGTGTGAGAGATATTGGGTATATTTGGGTTTTAGGATTGAGATTTCACCAAATTTTGTATACTTTATTTTGTTAGTGAAATTTTTCTTTTATCTTCGCCCGTGGACGTAAGCTAAAAAGTCGAACCATGTAAATTATCGTATGTTTTGTGTGTGTTATTATTTTTTCCCTATTTTTCTTACCGTTAATTTTATCCGTGAGATTAGGTTTGTCACAACGTATAACAATGTCACACATCAAGTTGTATCCCATATTTTAATCATAAATAATGTGTTTTTTTTATTATTAACATTTTATAACTTGATCAACTCCTTAATCATTTGCGCCACATAAGTCTAATCAACTTGGGATTTCGGAAGCTTTTGAGAAAAAAAAAAAAAAAAATTGACACAATAGGTATGAGATCATATGTTTGGTCGTTCTCCAAAGTAAATTAACATGAATGACTTTGAACAAATTTTATAATAATCAAATATGACTTGAGCAAAACTTGTCTCCTTACCATTTGCAAGAGGTGGCGGTGGGTTGTGTCATACCATAGCCATGTCTAAAAATTCAAAGTCAATCATGTAGTGAGTCATGCCGTGTCAAGGCCCACAAAAATTCGTGTCATGTTGACCCACCAAATTTGAAGGACCACGACATGGCCCGCAATATTTCGTGTCGTAGGCCATGCCATAGGCCGGCCTATGTGTTTTGTAAAAATATTTAATTTTAATATTTATAAATTATGGTAATTTTGATTTATTATTAATAATTATTATAAAAATATTTTATATGTTATATTTAGTGACATTTTGTATTTATATTAATTAAAAATATATAATCACTATGAAATAAAGTAAAATAATGAGACATTGAAATATTAATTGAATTTTAACAATTTTTATTACTTATAAGTTATAATTATAAATTATAAATACAAACTTAGAAATTGGGATTAAGAATTAATATACATATTCATTTTCATTAATTTCTAAATTCTTTAATTTTTTTTTTTTTTTCGTGTTGTGTTGTGCTTTGCTGGCCCACGTGCCTTTTTTAAGGCTCACGGCACGGCCCACATATTTTTGTGCCGTGTCGTATTGTGCTTTTTTTTATGTTGTGCTTTTTTTTTATGTCGTGCTTTTTTCATGTCATGTCGTTGGCCGGCACGACCTACCACCGACTCTACCATTTGCTTACCCCTATCAACAAATTTCAGATATGCGACAACCAAGCCCATCTATTAACACAAAACCAAGTAATTACAGCCTAAAGCTGGTCAAGGACCAGTCCCAAGCAGGCCCGAGCCTGGGCCCCTTTGGGATTGGTCCCATTTAGGACTAGTTGCTTATGGGCTTGGGATCGATCCCTGACCCATGAGCAATTTCAGGACCCGAAACGATCCTTAGGACCGGTCCTGGGCCCATAGGACCGATCCTATGAGCTTGCAAAATTTCATTTTTCCCTATCTTTTTTTTTATATTTTAGGGGCGAAATGAAATCTGTAGGGGGGTTTATGTAAATTTTAGGGGTCGATTAGTAAGTTTTTAAAAGTTTAATTAATTTTAAAAAATAATAAATTAATTAATGGTTAATTTTAACATAAATGTGATATTCACACAATCAACATTCACACTTCACAGATAAACAATTAAATATTTTTTTTTATTAAATTATTCACCTTCATCGTCAACAATATTTAAATCATTAAAATATGTGTTTCTAAAGAGTTCGAGTAGTTCGGGATCTTCAGGGTATTGTTATAGTCTTCTCTCTACATGAGTCTAATCTTGTAAACACGTTATCACTTCAATCATCTCATCGATTAAAGAGCATCTTCTGTCTTCAACAATCCGGCCACTTGTTGAAAATGCTGACTCGGATGCAATTGTAGAAACTGACACAAATAAAATGTCACGTGCCATTTGGGCTACAATGGGGAATCGACCTTGATGTTGGTTCCACCATTGAAGCACATCCATCTCACATTTCTCCTTCTTCGTCATGTAGGACATGTCCATTTGTAGGTAGCGATTCAGCTCATTTGGTCCATGTATATACGAGCTGGAGTTCCTACTTTGGCCATATTCCGTATAAGTCCACATGCTCGATCCTTGATGGAGGTCTTCATCAGGGTTCTGATCGTCTCTCTTGGACATTCCATTTCCACTTCCACTTCCATTGTACATATTCTGATATAAAGAAAAAAAAAGTTTTCCAAATTTTGCTTAAAGTCAGTTAAATGAAACGTATAATCATGTCCTAAATGCTAGCATATCTCAGTAATTATACATTTAACTATGTGTAATTTAAACCTGGGATCTACAACAAGGCCTAATCCATATAAGAATGGAATATCTAACCAATATTTCTCATATTTTTCTTGCATCTTTAAAACAATTTCTATTAAAACGTCATTATATCTATATTTAGCAAAAGTTTTAGAAATTTAAAGTAAAATATCTAACGCTAAATTAGTAGTCAGATAATAAATATCACTTAATGTATTAATGGAATCATAAAAAATTTTAAGAAGTGAATAAAAAAGTGCACAAACTGCCAAATCATCATAGCTGACAACTTCCTATGAATGGTTCTTCCGATTGACGAAATCTGTAATTTGTCTTGTGGTTGCTACTAGTCATTTCCTTCAATGGATAGCTTGGCTCCTTCCAAAGCTTTTAGTCTGGTGGAAAGAAGAGATGCTTAGGCTATTGATTCACTGAATTGGCTCCTTAGCTCGCCTCTATTGGTCTAGTTAATGCTTTAAGCTTCCAAGGCCAGCTAGAGTTGCTTTACCTGCGTCTGAAGGCTCAGAAAGGCCATAAATGGGATCATTGGCAGTTGGCTTTCGCAAAGCTTTTTCCAACATCTGGAGTTCCAACGGATAGGCATGTCCGTACATAACTTCAAAGGTCAAACCAGTGGGTCCTCTTGCCTACAATATTTGACGTATTCCTGTCATCTTTTGTTGCTACTGCCGACGATAAATCTGATAGCTGCGCGCACCCTCTCCATTTTCGAATGTATAGCATCTAAACATGCTTTAACAATCAAATTGATGATATGGAAAGCACATCTCTAGTGAAAAAAATTGTCTTCACCACGCAGATCCAATCTTTTTTCAAATAAAAAGATTGTCACGGTGTTAGCAGCTACATTATCAAGCGTTAGCGCTACAACTCTATCAATTAATACATATTCTTGCAAAACTTCAAGAATTATAAAATAAACAATGTCAACACTATGT